GACACCATGTGCAATTTGTTGAACACTGCATGCTTTTCCGATGCATTCCCTGTGGCAGCCATTTTGGCAACACTGATGATTTATGGTTGCATGTGCAATCAGCTCATCCTGTTGATTTTAGACCGTCAAAGATTGCTCAACAGCATGATCAATCTGCGGGTGAGGAATATCCACAGAAACTTGAGCTTGGCAACTCAGTTTCTTTGGATAATAATTCAGAGATTGTCAGCAGTTTCCAAAAGTTTATTTGCAGGTTTTGTGGCTTGAAATTTGATTTGCTGCCTGATCTTGGCCGCCATCACCAGGCTGCTCACATGGGATCATGTTTAGTTAGCTCCCGGGCCCCTAAGAAAGGGGTGCATTATTTTGTATATAAACTAAAATCTGGGAGACTTAGTCGTCCTAGATTTAAGAAAGGTCTGGGGGCAGTGTCATACAGAATCAGAAACAGGGCAACTGCCACTATGAAGAAACGCTTGCAGGCATCAAAGTTGATTGACACTGACACCAATAGTGTAGACCCTGATGTAACAGACACTGCGAGTCTTGGTAGATTAGTGGAATTCCAGTGTTATTCCCTTGCAAAAATTTTATTTTCTGAAATTCATAAAACAATAGAACGACCTAATAACTTGGACATTTTTTATATTGCTCGCTCTTCTTGTTGCAAGGAGAGCCTCAAAACATCATTGGAGAAGAAGTATGGAACATTACCAGAATGTGTGTATCTTAAAGCAGCCAGGCTTTGTAGTGAGCATAACATTCAAGTCGAATGGCACAAAGATGATTTTACATGTTTAAATGGATGTAAAGCTGTCAAGGACCCAGATTTTCTGTCCCCGTTAATGCCCCTTCCTAACGGTTTTGAAAGCCACCAATCAGCAGATTCTTTGGATCGTGTGGATGAGTGGGAACTGGATGAGGGCCACTGTATCATTGATTCGCAACATTTAAGACAACTGCCCATGCAGAAAGCCCGTGTCTTGTGTCATGATATAAGTTTTGGGAAGGAATCGGTTCCAGTAGCTTGTGTAGTGGATGAAGGTGTTTGTAATTCCCTTAACATCTGTGGTGATGACTCCAATGACCAAAATGCTGTATCATCCATGCCATGGGAAAGCTTTACTTATGTTCCAAAATCTTTGCTCAATCAATTCCTTCAACTTGATCCCAAGGTACCTTCGTGTTTGTATTATTACATCCTTTTTTCTCTATTTCCACTTCATTTAGACTCCTTAGAATTATGCCAATGGACTTTACTTCATTGCATGGAACAATGACTTTAGCACCATAAGTTCTTTAGATTCTTGATAATTCCCTTAACTGGAGATTTCTGGGTTTTGTTTGATATTACTATCCAATGCAGTTATTAGGGCAAGAACAGACATCATCCTTTTTTCATGGCTTGCATCTCACCCTTTACATGACGGAGTGCATTTTTAATTGCTTTGATAGGTTTTATTCGTGTGGTTTTTTCCTTCTAATTATTGCATATCTTTTCAGAGTTTACAACTTGGATGCACCTGTTCCAATTCAACATGCTGTCCTGAGGCATGTGATCATGTATATCTCTTTGATAATGATTATGAAGATGCAAGAGACATACATGGGAAACCCATGCGTGGTAGATTTCCATATGATGACAAAGGTCGGATTATCTTGGAGGTACTTTAATTCTTGTTGTCAGCCATTACTATTTTCACTGTAAAGCATCATAGTTTTGCTTGCTTATATTGCTTCTCAAATCACTTATAAAAGAGCATGTGCCATTATTTGCTTGAAGACTCTTTTTAGAACAGTTTTTCAGATACTTTTATTGTCTGTTTTGCTCGGTCTGCAGTGAGTAGTTTATAATGTTTGTAAATGAGTGTGTTATCAATCTGATTTGATACTCAAAAGCTTATCTAAGCTTGAGGTTCCATGTTAGAGCTCCAGAAATGTCAGAGGTGTGAGCGTTCAATGTCAAATGGTTAAGAGTTATCTTTGAACATATATTGTCTTATACTTATCCTAGATTAATCTGAAAAAAGAGCTTGAATTCACTACATTATACTGTAAAAAACCTTTTTAGACAAGTATATGCGACCGCTTAGACTAGTTGGCATATTTACCCCTCTTTTGATTTCGATTTATATTCTGTGATTAAACCCTTTTGAAACTGTGCAGGAGGGTTACCTTGTCTATGAATGCAATCACATGTGTAGCTGCAATAGAGCATGTCCAAATAGGGTTTTGCAAAACGGAGTACAAGTGAAATTGGAAGTCTTCAAAACAGAGAATAAGGTAATGATTTCAAATTTTGGTTTTATTCTAATGCTTTGTTTTTCTACTTTTCTTCATGTTGATCTTCAGGGCTGGGGAGTCCGAGCTGGTGAACTGATCTTGAGTGGCACATTTGTGTGTGAGTACGTTGGTGAGATTCTAGATGAGCAGGAGGCAAATAATAGGCGCATCAGGTTTCACCTCTTGATTTATGAAGATTCTTTTTCAATTTATTCTTGCTTTGATGTTTTTTACTGAATGGGCTATATGATCAAATTTCAGTTACGATAGAGAGGGTTACAACTACATGTATAATGTTGATTTTCATATCAATGATATGAGCAGATTGATTGAAGGACAGATCCAATATGTTATTGATGCTACTAAATATGGAAATGTTTCTCGGTTCATCAATCATAGGTAAGTACACATGCTATGCATCACGTATCAAAATGCTTTTCCTTATTATTCTGATATTTTCTAAATTGTAGCTTGACCATAATAATTGTGAACGATTCAATGGTTTTTGAATATATTGACCATTTTTCATTGTGAATACGACTACTCTTGACAACTTCTTTGTCTAATTTCCTTTAAATTCTCCCAGTTGCTCGCCTAATCTTGTGAATCATCAAGTTCTTGTTGACAGCATGGATTGTGAGCGTGCTCACATTGGGCTCTATGCCGGTCAAGATGTAAGCAATTCTCAACATCATAAAGTCAAATGTGATGCCTATGAAATCTTGGATGATCTAAGTTCAAAAATGTTATGCAAAAGCAATAAGATTTCGAATATGCATCTCTCAACTTATTTCTTCAACCAAGATGTTGTAGGACTGATATTTTAATTTTTTATGGATAATTGTAGTCATGTAAGCCTCTTGTCATTGAAAAAGAAAATGAACTTTTAAAAAATTGTCAGTTTCATTTTTCTCAAGTGCTTTACATGTATTGATTCCTGCCATCTTTTCATTTTACATTTTTGCAGATAGCTATGGGTGAAGAGCTGACTTTTGACTATCATTATGAACTGCTGCGTGGGCAAGAACGTCCATGTCAATGTGGAGCTTCTGCCTGTCGGGGCCGCCTTTACTAAACTATCAATGAAACGAAGGGCTCTCCATGCCCATCTAAACTTTGCCTTTCTAGTTCCCAAATCAGGATACATGGCACTAACATAGGATCGCTACCTCCAATTCAGTCACAGGACTAAATCTGGCATTTATTCTTGCATTAAGGCAGCTGATTAATTGCCAAATCACGATTGTTGGCAATTGAGTTATGGAGGCTCCAGACAACATGCAACTTAAAACTTTTGTCATGGAACCTATGCAATTTCTTCTTTCTAAATGAGCTTCAAGAAAACAGGCGAAAACATGCAGTGTCTTTTATGAATTCTTTTTTCAAGTTCCGCTTCTTTCCCCGAGTGCTGAAATCAGGCAAAAACAGTAGGTTTTTTTCTCCGCATTGTATCAAGTTCTTAGGTTGAAAGCTTAGCCTAGGAATATTAGAAAGCAGTTCTTTCTGATGTATGAATTGCCTCTTTTGGTAGCTGTGCATCAGCCTTAATAGTGACACTGGTTTGTTCTCTCCATTGTAATGTTCGAGCAGTTCAACAATTTGTTCCTTTATTTCATTCAGGTTATTTCGATACTCAGATAAGAACATAAATACAGCTATTCTCTAATGTCATAATAGTTTACATGCATGAAAGCCAACTATGGCTCATCCAGGGTGTTATTTAGATCATTGCTTGGGATGGACTCAATGGATATCAAATTTATTTATTTTTTATTTATTAAGGAAAAGATTCTGAAAACAAAAATATGACAATGATACTTAAGATGTGACTAATCATCATACTTGTTATCTAAGATACAGTGTGCCAAACTATATAGAGATTAAAACAAGCAAATGACAGAATCAAGGTGATTAATGACATTCTCTAGATTATATTAGATTAGATTATAGAGACCATGATAGCATAAACATGGCACATGAGTTCAGCTCCACCAAGGACGACCCATCACATGGAAAAAATGATTCAGAGGAGCGGTGAAGTGGGCCAAATTTCCAGTTAGGGTCAGTCACGCCATCTTTGCAAATGGAACCACTGATGATGAGAGACCATCCTTTTTTTGTTTTTCTTTTCATCATTGCTAAAAACTCCATTATTGCCTTGCATCAGAACCTTTTAAAGAGAAAAAAAAAACAGTAAAATCGAGGAAAAACAAAAAGAACAAAATGCCAGGGGTGGAAAGGGGATGTCATGTCCCAACTCCAACCCGAAGTCAAAAGGATTTTGGAGAGTTGCTTTATTGTTTATTTTGGTGTTCTATGATCCATCACGCTTTTATTTTTACATTAAACAAATAAGTGATTTCTCGTTAAAATGCAAATGTAAATCGACACAAAATTAGGGAAATGTAAGTTGAAGACTTTTTTGGTGTTGGACCATCCATCATTTTCACCGTTACTTATTTGTCATTCCCAATCCCCAGCACTACCAAAGAGACGGTTGGTTTTTTAGCTTCGCATTCTTCATCGAATTTCCCATCACAATGACCTCACAAGTTCCCACGTTGAGTTGACAAACAATTTTCTTTTTTTTTTAAAGAAAAGAAAGCATCTATCTCATTAATTAGTCATTTCAATCAACTCGCACCAAGGCACAACTAGTCATGGAACCAACGTTCACTTCTATGCAGAACAAACAGCACCGGCAAATGAAAGCAACCCATAAATTATATGGGGTTTGGCAGTTCTCTCTCTTTCTTCTAAAATTAAAAGGTTGAAATTTGGGAAGAAATATTATTAAAAAAAAGGAAACTTGTTTGATTTCAAAGCAAGTGTTTTCTGCACAAAAGAAAGAACATTTAGGGTGGCAACTGGCAAAGCCATTCAAAAAGTGAGAAACAGTGTTATTGAACGTAACCAAAGCGCATCAAGTTGGTTATTTTTCTTTAGTTTACTTTTACTTTAGCTGTTGTGTTTTCATTTTTTTATACAAAATATCATTAGTAAGTGGCACTTTACTCATCATTCTGCTCTGGGGGAAGTATGAGTTGAACCGGGTCCTTTGATGCTCGACACACCAGAGCACTTTTACTCGATCATTTTAGGCTCCCACGGGCTTAGAAATAACCGACAAGAAATGGGTTTTCAGGGCAGATTCCAGATTCCACATTAACACCGGTCTTTCTTCAGCTGAGGGTTGAGTGTTTGCAAGTTTTCAAGATTCTCTTTGTTGGGTATTGAAAAATGGTACTCTTTTGTTACGCTTGTTTCTCATTTTTATAATTAAGAAGAGTTTTCAAGTTTCTTTCTTAATCCCCCCTTTTTTCTATCTCTATAGTGATAGGAGAATCTGTAAAGTTTTAACTTTTTTTCCGGGGATTTGTCGTTGTATGTTGCCGATAGAATTAGTGTCTTGAAGAAACTTTAGCCTGGCTTAATTTGGATCGCTATTTAAATTTGTTTTCTCTTAGGAAGCTGCAAGTTAGGGAGCTTTTAATTTGTGTTAGTTTTATTCCAAATAAAATCCCATTTTTCTGTTTTGGGCTGGTTTGTATAATCTTTTCTGGCAGGGAGAGAGCTTAACCGGTTACTGTATAGAAATCTTTTAGCTGCTTTAACTTTAAGGGGGTTTCTGCTCAACTTTCTTACAATAATGCATTGAATTCTGACTAAAAATGGCTGAAATTGGAGTTAGAAAGGTAGAAGAGCAAGGCCAAACCAAGATTAGAAATGTTCCAATTGCTGTAACCCCTGAAGGTTTTTGGTGTTGTCCCGCTCCTGTTGTGTTCCAAAAGACTCTCAAATCACAAAATGCTCCAAATAAACCCAAATCATCCTCACCACCGCTCAAGTCTAATGTTCAGAAGAAACAAATCCCACTTACCGAGAAGAAACCAGCGATTACCCCGATAAGATCTGCATCTACCTCTGATGATCAAAGAAGTTTTACCCCAGATGATCCTGGTGTAGGTGCTCCAATATTTCCCAAGAGACCACCGATGCCTAAGGTAGAACATGTGCCTAGGAAGGTGGCAATTGAATTTGGTGAGCCAGGGACCAGTGATATGGAGGTGATTCTGCTTGGCAAACATGGGTATTGTGTTAAGTTGAGCGTCCACAAGAAAGTTTTTTTGGAGAATAGCAGTTTTTTCACTGAAAAACTTTCTCAACAAGAGCCTGGTTTGTTTTGCCTTGAAATTGATGACTGCAAGGATGCTGAAATCTACATCGAGACTGTTGGACTCATGTACTGCAAAGAAATGAAGCAACGATTAATCAAACAAAGTGTTTCACGTGTGCTCTACATTCTCAAGGTAGTTTGCACATTCATGCTACGGCCTTTTCATTTGAGGAGCCTAAATTTTTTATGTTTTGCATATACACACGCGCTAAGGACACCATCTGTAGTTTATTTCAAACTTAACAAATAATAATCTTAGATTGTTACTCAATCATGTTATCATATCTCTTTGAACTTCATAAATGCTAGTTAAGAGACATGAAGGCATGTCATTCTGCCTACATCTTGGTTGAAAAACGAACATTGTCTCTTCGTGCAAGTTTTTTGATATCATTTAGTTAGTTGTTCAGCTTGTATCATGCAACTTTTTCTTGCATCTGCAATACATTTTGTTATTTCTACTATACAATGTACTATAATTTCTGAATGAAGTTGGATCTGTTGGGCAATTAGCTATTTCATTACAAAATAAATTTTTGCATTCTCTTATATTTCGATCCCCAAATGATATTTGCTTGTTTATGCCGTGTAATATAATGTTTATTGAAAATTCACCTGAATGTTGATGCACATCCAACAATTTCTTTAGTCATAAACTCCGATACATGTAGCATGTAGTTGTAAAATGTCATGTTTTGCTTTACGTGATTGCAAAACCATCTTCTGTATTTTAAAATTTTTCATCCGTTTATGAAATTTTTTAGGTCATGAACTTCTTTGCAGGTCGCTGAGCTACTCGGCTTTAATTCATGCATACTTTCATGCTTGGAATACTTGGAAGCAGTTCCTTGGGTTGACAAAGAGGAAGAAGAAAAAGTGGTCTCTTCAGTTCTGCGGCTCCAGGGTGAAGGTATTGAGGTCACACCAGTATTAAAACGCATCTCTTCTGATGTGTCTAATTCCCCCAGAGACACAATTTTGCACATTATGGAACTTGTTCTCAAAAACAATGAGGAGAGAAGCCGGCGTGAAATGAAATCTATGGTATTGAAGCTTCTTAGAGAGAACAATAGTCTTCCAAGCTATGCTGATTCAGCCGACGTCGTCAACAAAACTGTTTATATATCATGTAGAAACTGCTTGGATTCACTCTTGTCTCTGTTCAAACAGGCAGCTGAACCAGAATCCATGGATACCAAAGAACCTGTGGTGAAGCAAATAGCTTTGGATGCTGATAATCTGTCATGGTTGCTTGAGATTTTGGCTGACAGGCAAGCAGCAGATGGATTTGCACGAATTTGGGCTACGCAGCAAGAGTTGGCAACACTGCATTCAAAGCTGCCCATTGTGTCCCGTTACCATGTTAGCAACATTACAGCTAGGCTATTTGTTGGAATTGGAAAAGGGGAGCTGCTACCAGTCAAAGACACTCGTCGACTGTTGTTCCAGACATGGTTGCAGCCTTTGATCAATGACTACAGCTGGTTGCAACATGGCTGCAGGTCATTTGATCGGAAAGTTGTGGAGGAAGGTATTGGTAGGACGATCCTCACATTGCCTTTAGAGGATCAGCAGAGCATTCTGCTTGCTTGGTTGGACAGCTTTCTGAAGGCTGGTGACAACTGCCCAAATCTCCAAAGGGCATTCGAGGTCTGGTGGCGAAGAACTTTCATTAGACCATACGCTGATGTCCAAGCCGAAGTGCTCCAATCAGACAACTCAATGACTTCGAAGCAGTAAATGAAAGAGATAACAATACAGGTAAACAAGACCATACGAAAATTAAGCGGAATATTTCTCCGGCACCAGAAATTGACATGGCAAGTCTCACGGATATGGCATGATTTCAGTTTAATCACTTCATGCTGACGTTTTCTGCTAGAACTTCAGCATGGAACTTTGGATTGACAAGTGCGGCTGATTTTTTAGATCCGTTGGTTCTCGGAATAAAATTTGGCTCTTAGGGTTGTGTTGTGCATTACTCTGGTGCAAATTTATGTTGAATTTCAGTTTATTTATATCTCAGTAGGGTCCAAGTTTTCATTAGAAAGATTGACAGTTTTCGTTGAGTTGCCGAACTGGATTGAACATATATGATAATGTAAAATTGATTGGTGAAAAGTGTTCTGAAGTTTATGCATGCCGATCAGCTACATCAAAATGGCAAACAATCGAGAATATCAGATTGCACTCGAATCGGCTGATAATACCAGGCTACGTATGTGCTGAAGACAGAGAAGAAAGCAAAAGCTTATCCAGAACTGACCCAAACCTTGAAATGGGGGTCCAATGGAGATTTCTAAAAACATCAATCAATGTGAAACGTAAAAGCAGTCAATTGAACTTTTCGTCTGTTTCTTTGGCATTGAATTTGCAATTAATAATGCCCCTGAACAAGACAAAGAACAAGACTCAGGACCACTCTCCCTCTCATCCACAAACACAGTAAGCACTGAATGTAAAGGACATAAAAACCAAAACAAAACCTTCATTTAGAGAATGATCATGGATTCGAAGAATCTATTTTTAAAACGTTAAAATAAACCAAACAAGCCTTTGATTTTATTTCTCTCTCACTCCCAAATCAAGAAAATGAAGAACACAGCCGAAAGTGACACTGCTTCCTATTCTTATCTGTTGCTGACAGTGAAACGCTTCGAGACTGATACGGGTTTATTTGGATTTTTTTTTTCAGCTTTAACCGATGGAATATCATATCCAAAGCCCTCTTTTTTATCTTCATTATTTTGTCCAGCAATATTGATTTTAACCAATTAAATTATGATTATCTTGGATTAAAATGGATTCGCATGGAACAATTAAGACCGTTAATTATTAGATAGGGTAAATTACAAATTTGGTAATTGAATTTTATTCTCTCTTCTATTTCACTCACTATACTTTTAATTTTTTAATTTTTTAATTGAACTTAATACATTGGATTTTTTGATCACCAGCCGTTTTTTCACTAACGATGTTATAGGGTTTAGAGAGTCTCCAAACTGCACGCGATGTTGTCAATGATGTGTTGAGTTTAGCAAATTAAATGAGATGGAGGCTCTCGGGTTCTTCTCCACCACCAAAAGACTGATGGGCACTGGCAACAAAAATCTGTGGACTAAACCAATTGAAGGGTTCTTTAAAATCAATGTGGATAGTGCCTTTTCGGCTCAAAACGAGGTTGTGGCGATAAGGGTTGTTGCTAGAGATCACCATGGAATGGTGATGGGCGGAAGCACACAAAAGTTGGAGGGTACTCACACAGCAGAGTCAACTGAAGCTAAAGCCTTCACGGAGGGCATTCGCATGGCGATTGAGAATGGGAGGGAGAACGTGATCATTGAAGGGGATGCTATCTCCATTGTGAATCGCTTAACTAATCAGAATGAAGACTTATCAATGCTAGGATTGTTGCGCAACGAGGCACATGCACTTTTAGAAAGTTCTTCGACTTTTAAGGTTCATTGCTTAAATTGAATTGCCAATCAAGTGGCTCACTCACTTGCACATTGGGCTTCATCGAGTATCAATCCTCATTTTTTTGTATTTGATGAACCAGAATATATTAAGAGCGATGTACTCTTTGATGCTATTGACATTTAAATGAAACTTTCTCATCCTTAAAAAAACAAAAACAAAAAAAAAACTAACGGCGTTATGACGTGATTTTTTATCAAAAAATCCAATGCATAAAGTTCAATGATTAAATTGAAAAAAATTAAAAGTATAGTGAGTGAAATAGGAGAGAGAGTAAAGTTTGATGATTAAATTTGTAAATTACCAATTAAAAAATAAATAAATAACCACTTAATAACGTCATTAGTGAAGATAGTTACCAAAAAACCTAATGTATTAAGTTTAATGAGAAAAATGAAAAGATTTAAAGTATAGTGAGTGAAATAGGAGAGAGAGTAAAATTCAATTATCAAATTTATAATTTACCCTATTAGATATTATATTGATGAAAGGAAGATTCAATGTTGAATAGAACTTTATTAACAAAGGCTCAATATGCTTACAATTAGCTCAAGTTTTAATACAAAGAAATGACAATAATTGCTTCCAAATTTTTTAAACCTAATTAATAAACTTGTTGAGCTAAGCAGCTTGTTAACTAACCAACTTGCTGAGTTGGCAAAATTGATGCTTTCAGAATATACTCAACATGTTCCCTGCTATTTCATTTCTTCAAAGGAGAAAACACCCAGCCTTTGTCTAAACACACCAAAGTAATCTCTAGTCAAAGCCTTGTTTAGTCCATCAGCTACATGATGCTCTGAAGGAACATAGTTCACATTCAACTCGTGAGCTCTCACCTTTTCTCAGACAAAGTGGACATCAAGCTCAACATACTTCGTTTGGAGTGGTACACCGAATTTGTACTCATAGTTATTGCGCTTGAGTAATCGCTCCAGTCAACCGGTTTGGCTTGAGCTTCAACTTTCATATCTTTAAGTAAAACATCTAGCCATGTCACATCCGAGGTTACATCCGTCAAGCTTTTGTATTCAACCTCAGTAGTGGACCTAGACACTATCTTCTGCTTCTTGGAACTCCACGTAACAAGACTACCCCCTAGATATACGTTGTTACCGGATATCGACCTTCTACCATCCATGTTTCCTCCCGAATCTGCATCCGCAAAAGTAACTAGATGTAAAGGATCCTCACTCGGGAAGAAGACTAGACCATAGTCAATAATTCCATTCATATATTGTAATACTCATTTCACAGCAGCTAAATGTTGCTCACATGAAGCATGCATGAACTGAGCAAGCTTATTCACGTTATATGTAATGTCAGGCCTAGTGTGATATGCATACAACAACGAACCAACCAAGTTTCGACACCCTTTTGCCTCACTCAAGATACTGTCAGTGTCTTTAGTGAGTTTGAGAGAAGCAATCATGGGCGTAGGCGTAGACTTAGCATTACTCATGTTTGCTTTAGCAAACAACTCCAACACATATTTCTTCTGATTAAGAAAGATTGCATTATATACCCGCTTCACTTCAATGCCAAGGAAAAAATGCAGTTGTCCAAGTTCTTTAAGAGATAATTTATTCCAAGCAACTCAACCACATTCTCAATTTCATTACATCGTCCACATAGACTAGAATATGTACATTACCTTCCCATCTTCAACCTTAGCAAACAAATAACTAACATCTTGTGAACTCTTAAACCCTATACCAACCATAAAACTTTTAAACTTTGCATACCAGTTGCGTGGGGCTTGTCGAAGCCCAAGGCTTTTTGAAGCTTGCAAACCAACACCGAACTGTTTGAAGATTCCTTCTTAAATCCATGTGGTTGTTGCATATAAATGTCCTCAAACAAATCTCGATTCAAAAACGCGTTGTTCACATCCACTTGTCTTAACTCCCATTTTTTACGAACTGCAAGAGCAAGCATAACATTTATAGTAGACAACTTAACAACATTATTGAAAGTGTCTTGAAAATCTTGACCAGGCATTTGAGAGAACCCCTTGGCCACAAGCCCAGTTTTGTATCGTTGAACGGTTTCATCAGCATTCTTCTTAATTTTGAATAACCATTTACAGTCTACTATAGTCCTTCTATCAAGTAACACGACTAACGTCCAAGTATTATTTTTTCACCGTGGCTTCATACTCTGCTAGGATAACTTTCTTCCATTTCTTGGACTAAAGGGCTTCATGTATCGAACTAGGTTTAATTTCCCCATCCTCATGCTCGATTGTATACAACTTTGGCTTAAATATCCCTCTTTTATTACGAGTGACCATGTGATAACCACTAGTTACAAGAGTTGTATCCACAAGATTTGCACATTCTTTCTCGACACCCATAGTAATACTCTTAGTGCAAGAGTTTTCACTATTAAACTGTTGAAAGTCAATGGTAGGCACTGAAAGCACAAAAAAGTTTGGGCTGCAGAAATTATCAACATTCGGTGCAACATTTGTTGAAATTAAGTAATGGGATAATTATACATTTAGTCCTTATACTTTATGATATTTATAAGATTAGTCCTTAAGCTTCAATTATAAATACCCTAACCCATTTAGCTTCAAAACCATCCCAAATCATTCTAGCATTCTCTCATTACTAGAGAATTTAGAGAGTTTCTTGAGAGTTGTTTTCTTCTTTTTAGCAAGAGAGAATTGTCATTGTTTTTCTCTTTGGTAGATCGAGAGAAGTTGTAATTCCTATTTTCTCATAATGAAATTCTTCTACCTTTGCCCGTGGTTTTTACCTTATATTATTTAGGGGGTTTTCACTTAAAATTTGTGTCTTATTTACTTCATTTTTATTTTCTCAAATTATCAGTTGCGATTTTTCTCTATTAGAGCCAGATTTAAGTGTTTAATATCTACTTATTGTCTTTATGGTTACCACCAAAAGGTGGATCCTCCAACATAAGAAAGTAAGAAGATATTACCCATGCTTTGAAGGTTCCAGAGAATTATTCACGATAGTGAAATAGTGAGAGCTATCCGTATTATAAGCTATGGTAACGAAATTTGATATTGAAAAATTCAATAGGAAAAATTTCTCATTGTGAAAATTGAAGATGAAGGTCATCCTGAGGAAAGACAGTTGTCTAGCAACTATCAATGAAAGGCCGATAGATTTAACAGATGATAACAAATGGATCGAAATAGAAGGAAATGTTATGGTAAACTTTCATATAGCATTAGCAGATGAAGTATTGTCAAGCATCGATGAGAATAAGACAGCTAAGGAGATATGAGATCATCCCACCAAACTGTACGAGGCCACATCATTGCACAATAAAATTTTCCTTAAGAGGAAATTGTACACTTTCCGGATGCTAGAATCTACTTCAGTGACGGAGCACTTAAACACACTGAACAATTTATTTTCTCAGCTTACATCCTTAAGATGCACAATAGGAGAACAAGAACGTGTTGAACTTGTACTTCAAAGTCTACCTGATTCGTATGATCAACTCATCATCAACTTGACAAATAATAATGTCACCAGTCTAGTCTTCGACGACGTTGCAGCTGTTGTTCTATAAGAAGAAAATCAGTGCAAGAACAATGAAGACAGACAAGTAAATCTACAACAAGCAGAAGCGTTAACAACGATGAGAGGGAGATCAATAGAACGTGGTCAAAACAGCTGTTATAAACATAGTAGATCAAAGTCGAGAAACAAGAAGAATTTAAAGTGCTACAACTGTGGAAAGAAAGGTCACTTGAAAAATGATTGTTGGAGTCTAAGTAAAAACTCCAATCTACAGTACAATACCACAAACACTTCAGATGATGGATATACTCTATATTGTGAAGCGTCAACCACCGTGGAAGGTAGAAAGAGATTTGCAGATATATGACTCATTGATTTAGGAGCAACATATCACATGACCTTAAGAAGAGAATGGTTCCATCATTATGAACCTATCTCAGGAGGATTTGTGTATAGTTGCAATGATCATGCCTTAGAGATCGTTGGCATGGGAACCATCAAATTGAAGATGTATGATGGAACAATTAAAGTTATTCGAGATGTGCGTCACGTGAAAGGCCTGAAGAAAAATTTATTATCCTATGGATTGTTGGATAATAATGCAAGCAAGATTGAAACACATAAAGGAATCATAAAGGTATTCCGTGGATCGCTTGTGGTGATGAAAGGAGAAAAGATAGCAACAAACTTGTACATATCGAAGGGAGAGACTTTGCTAGAAGCAGAAGCCTCTCTTGCCTCATGTAGTTCAGATTCTGCAATGCTATGGCATCAAAAACTTGGACACATGTCAGAACAAGGAATGAAAGTCCTTGTAGAGCAAAAGCTACTTCCAGGCTTAACAAAGGTATCACTTACCTTGTGTGAGCATTGTATAACAAGTAAGCATCACCGGTTGAAATTCAACACGTCAAATTCTAGAGGCAAAAGTGTTCTAGAATTGGTTCATTCTGACGTATGACAAGAACCAATTACATCCCTAGGCGGAGAAAAATACTTTGTCTCATTTATTGATGACTACTCTAGGAGATGTTGGGTGTACCCTATTAAGAAGAAGTCAGAAGTGTTTTCAACTTTCAAAAACTTCAAAGTGCGGGTGGAACTTGATTATGAAAATAAGATCAAGTGTTTCAGAACAGATAATGGAGGAGAATACACAATTGAAGAATTTGATGACTTTTGCATGAAAGAATGCATCAATAGACAGTTCACAGTGGCGAACACTCCTCAACAAAATGGAGTGGCAGAGCGAATGAACATAACCTTGTTAGAAAGAACAAGAGCAATGTTGAGGGATGCAGGCCTAGAAAAATCATTTTGGGCAGAATAAATCAATATCTTCTGTTATTTGGTGAATCGAGCTCCATCAACTGTAATATAGCTTAAGACACCAATGGAGATGTGGACTGGTAAACCAGCTGATTATTCAAACCTCCATGTATTTGGAAGTATCGTGTACGTGATGTACAACTCCCAATAAATTTCAAAGTTGGATCC